CCATTGCCTTATCACCATCCCATAAGTCCCATGCCTGAAACATTTCCAACATTTTGTCAAATTATACACATCAAAGAAAAAAAAAGAAAAAAGAAAAAAAAGAAAAGAAAAGAAAAGAAGATTTATGTATAGACTTACATATCCAATAATATTTGAGTGTTCGGGTGAATGAAAACTAGTGTTTCTTCGGCCGGTTATTATCTCTAGTATTAATACTCCAAAACTATACACATCAGACTTGACAGAAAATAGACCTTCCATATCATACTCAGGAGCCATATAGCCGCTACATTTTACAAGTGATCATGGAATTCAAGTTAGCAAATCTTTGAGGATAAAAGATAAAGACTGATTTTCTGTGTTGTAATTTGGCAATTAGTGTAATCTCATTCTTGAACTCCTCCAAGCCTTGTCCAGACTTTCTTGAAAGCCTCTTTACAGCTATTTCTTGTCCCCATGGCAACTTTCCCTGTTAAGCATTATAAAAGTTAGCAGCGCTTTAGTGCATTCCAATACACAATTAACCTTCATTTTTTACCATTTTTTTCGTAGAAAATTAAAGAACATACCTTGTAGATAAGGTCAAATCCACCTTGTCCGAGCTTGTTTTCATTTGAAAAATTGTTTGTAGCTAATGCCACAATATTAAAATCGAGGAATGATAATTCTGCTCCGCTTACATGCTGCCCTTCAATTCTAAGGTCATCCGGTCCAGAAAGATCTGTCGAAAGTTCCTCACTTCTGCGTGCATAAAGCATCAGTAACTCATTGTTCTTTTGCGACAGATTCAAGAATGCTGTAATGAAGAATCAACAATTAGCATAAACAGTCAAGATAATTAACAAAATAACAGTACAATTTTCATTTCACTTTCTAAAATTTACCTTTCAATTTTGCTCTGAACCTCCATAGTAGCCAAATGGAAACACTTAGAAAGAATGTGCCCACCACCACTATTGCTATTATTACAAATTTGGATATTTTTCTCCCACCACCTATGTTAGAAGAGAAACAAATACAAAAGTCATTTTATTGTTTATAATTGAACAATTAAAAGAATCAAAGAACTCTAGCTTGCTCCACAAGAAAGCAAAAACTATTTGAAAAGGTCAATTCATGAGAAATTTTTGATATTTAGATATCCTATTCTGCTAGAGTTCTAATCAAGTATATTCATGAGAAATTTCTGATATTTATCCTATTCTCCCTATAGGAGGTAAAAATATCTCTTAAATGTTAGAAATTCTAACAGCAGCAAAAAGTATATTCATGAGAAATTTCTGATATTTATCCTATTCTTCCTATAGGAGGTAGAATATGTCTTAAATGTCAGAAAGTCTAACGGCAACAAAAATTATTATATGATATAATGAAAATTCAAAATGCTAACAACAGCAGTGACATATACAATTGAAAGTTTCATCTTACCTAATTCAGAATTCGCGAGACGAATGTAGAGAGCGTGTTCCCACCATCTGCAAATTGCTGAAGATCAACAAAATCCCCACTCCACATCATGCAGCTGATCCCATTTACATATGCATATGCTTTACATGAACAATTGTTCAGACACATATCTCTGCAAGCATTAATATCATCTGATCCCACGTAGTCCACGAAGTCCGGTAACTTCATCCCCTCAACCTTGACAAATCCATCTTCTTCCCTATTCCCTCCCTCAACTAGGCTGTTATTACTCTCACACTGCAATTGTGTCCTCCTAACACACCCTCCTGACCAATTCCCTCTATTCCACTGATCCAAGTCTTTTGCTACAAACCCTTCAATATGTACAACTTAAACTTCATTAAGATTTCAAATGGTAGATTAGTCACACAACTCACACATTAATCATCACACTGACAATGATTATACTTGAACAAATTTATCATCCATTTTGTTCATTTCCATTGACTTAGACCCAAACAATTAATCAAACTTATAAGTCAGCATAACTTTACTATAATTTAGATAATCTAAGTGAGCACTCATGTCATGTGCATTACATAACTTGCCGCCCTTATTAGGGATCATATAAGAAAATTTAACTTAGTACAAAACAATATATAAAAGCTTAATTAAATGCTTTTTTTTTTTTGGGTAGAAAATTGAAGAGAATAAGTCTATGCAATTAATTAAACACCATATTTATAAATACATGAAAGACATTGGCCACAAAAGATGTTTGTTCATAAAGGTTTGCCCTTTTTGGACCAGACTAAGGGTTCCACAGACCGCCCATCCCATCTTTGCTTAATTAGAAAAACTTTTTGATCACATGAAACCAAAAATTCAATGGTTTCCACGTTTTATTCAATTCAGTAATAGTTACTTAACCAATTAGGTCAAAAAATATATTGTGTTTGCTTTACAATCCAAAACAACAAAAAAAAATTTTAAGCAAGCTGGATTGAGTTTGTGTTGATTTGTGTTACCCAAAACATCATGAAAAAAACATGTCAAAAATATTTTGATATAAATATTTCCTTGGAATGTGAGATTAGAAGTCTGAGCTCCACAATAGATATTTATAAATGTGTATGAATACTTATTTGAAATTTGTTACACAATCGCTTCTCATATTAGACTTATTAGACGACTCAAATATTGTTGGTTTTTTATATCTCCAAACAACACATGATAGAATTGATTTAAAAAAGAACTCATAATGTTGCTCAATAAGATTTCAATTTCCAACAGGTCTGATGCTTGCAAATTTCTTTTTATTTAACTTAAAATATATATATTCACACACATTCATATATATATATATATATATATATATATATGTGTGTGTGTATGTATATATCTCAAGTCATGTGAACGATCTGTGAATATATAAGTGAAGGCACAAACATTCATCACTCACCAATCAACATGCATGTGGGTTGCTTTGACGACATTAGTTTCTAGGAAAAAACGAAAAGCAACAATTAAATTTGGTGTAATCAGTTTCACACAGTGAAGTTAAATATAAGTAAGAAAATATAGTAGTGTCATAGTGTGTACATAATGTTTAAAAACGATCTACATTCAAGCATTTTCTTTGACCTGAATTGAATGTTAGTAAATGAAGACCATTCCCTTTGTAAATTTCAGAGAACGTGGACAATAAATAGTTTCTATGTTTGTTAGTATCTCATGGAATAAATCATAGTTGTTAAAAGCGCCGAAGGCACGCGCCCGAGGCGCAAGGCGCCTACAGGCTCAAGTCATGCGCCTTTGTATGCACAAGGCGTTGCCCTTTGAACAGGCGTGCGCCTTTACATAAGAGGCGAGAGGCCTCGGGCGTAAAAAAAGCGTGCCTCCTTTTATTTGTTAGTATTTTGTTATTAGTTTATTATTTGCTGTTTGTTTATTATTTATTATTTGTTTATTATACTTTTTAGATAACTTTACTAAAAGAAAAGAATCAAATAAAAGCAAAAGAAAAGTGTAAAAGTGAAGTGAATCGGCCAGAGAAACTTTGAAGCAAAGAGAAAGACAAAGGCGCGATTTGAAGGCTTGAAGCAAAGACACGATTTGAATCTGCCGACTTTCTCTCACGAATCACGATCCGAATCCAGGTAAGTCACTGTTCTCTTCTTCTTCTCTTTCTTCTTCTCTCTCTTCTTTTCTCTCTCCTCCGTCTCTCTTCTTTTCTCTCTTCGGCAGATTCTTCTCTCTTCTTCTACAGATTCTTCTCTCTTTTTTTCTCTCTTCTTCTTCTTCTTCTTCCCTTTTTTTCTTCTCTTTGTTTTTTCTCTCTTCTTCGGCAGATTCTTCTCTCTTCTTCGGCAGATTCTTCTTCTTCTTCTTTTTCTCTCTCTCTCTTCTTTATAGCAAACTTTCTCTGTGCACAGTCTTTTCTTTTCTTTTTTGAACTGAACTGGAAGTTTGGAACTGGACTGCAACTCTGTGCCTTCTTTTCTTTCTTTTTTTTTTCTTTTTTTTTTTTTTTTATGAACTGAACTGGAAGTTTGGAATTGGATTGTAGCTCTATGTCTTCTTTTCTTTCTCTTTTTTTTTTTATGAACTGAACTGGAAGTTTGGAATTGGACTGCAGCTCTGTATATTTTTTTTTTTTTAAATTGAAATGTATATTGCTTTGAAATTGAAATCTGGTTTTGGAACTGGACTGCAGACATTTTTTTTTCTATGAACTGAACTGAAAGTTTGGAATTGGACTGCAGCTCTGTATTTTTTTTAAAAAAATTGAAATGTTAATATTGCTTTGAAATTGAGATCTGGTTTTGCTAATTAAAATCTGGTTTTTTTTGCTAATTGAAATCTGGTTTATTTTGTTACAACACCAATAATTGACATGAATTTATTTTGTTATCTTGAATTTGAATGTAGTTTGTATTTTAAAAGATGCCTAGTATTTTGTTGTCTATGTTTATTTTAGTTTTATCTCATAATTCTCATTAGTTGACTTTTGCATCTTTATATTAATATGTTTAATTATTTATTGTTGAACTCAAGTACTTGATTTAGTTGGCTTTGGTATCATTATGTTGAATATTGAACTTAAGTAATTGATTTAGTTGACTTTTGCATCTTTATATATAGTTTTTTTTTTTTTTTTTCAATGTGTGCCTTGCTTCAGTCGAGCGCTCGCCTCGCCTTGCGCCTCAGGCTCCAGGAGGCCTTTGCTCTTTTGTGCGTCTTGAGTCTTTAACAACTATGGAATAAATATGAAAATTTATTGAGAAAGTCCTGATACAAGTTTGAGACGTTTCCATTGCAACATGGGGTTTTCTTCCCAAAATTCAGAGCCGCTTACCAAAAATTAGGTCTCTCCTTTGTTGCCTTTCCAACAAAGATTGAGCTTTGAAACTGACTTTTACAGTTTAAAAGATTGTGAGTTGTTAGTCACACAACTCACACATTAAAAGATTTTAGTCACCATCCATGATATAAGAAATTTTTAGCAAAATGTTTGTGTTTAATTCATAAATGATAATCTTGTTATTTTCCTTTTTTATTAACATTCTGAATTTGAGACTTGTGTGATGCAGCTACTTTCTTGGATTTTATACAGTGAGGTGGTTTTTTGACAAGTGCAGACTGAAACTCAAGTGGTAGAAGGTTTATCAATTTTTCAACTGAAGTGTTCAGAAATTAATGATTTTCTTGACAAATAGATTTACTTCTTCTTTTGGAATATTGATAAATGTTGAATTGTTTTGGCACATTGATAAATGATGAATTGTAAAAATGTTTTAACTCTTTTGATATATTTAATGGGATATGTATGTTCTTTGAATTGAATTATAGCTGAAAGGATGTTAAGTATAGGTAGTGGATGATTAACTAGCATTAATTAAGGGTGTTTTATTTATTAAAAAATATATATATATATTTTTTACGGGGAGTTTGAAATCCCGTAAATAAGTGAAAATCCTTCTAAATAACTTTTCTACGACATACATGGTAAGTCGTGAGAAAGGTTTATATTATTTACGGGTACCTAAATTTCCCGTAGAAAAGTTTTCTACGGCATGCTTCAATGCCTCATGAGATTATTTATAGGTAGTTAAAATTCGCCTTAGAAAACTTTTCTACAGCATACTTCTGTAGCTCGTGAGATTATTTACGGCTAGTTATAACTCGCCATAGAAACCTTTTCTCGGTACCTCGTGAGATTATTTACAGGTAGTTACAATTTGCCGTAGAAAAGTCGAGATTATTTACGGGTAATTATAATTCACTGTAGAAAACTTTTCTACGGCATGCTCTAGTGGCTTGTAAGTTAATTATTAACGGGAAAATATCCATGTCGTAAATAAATTTAATATATAAATGAAATTATTTTCTACGATGAATCTATTATTTTTTTACAAAATAGATTTTTTCCCGTAAAAAAAATTAAGTATTTACGAAACCCTCATACATGAGAGCCTAGAATGCGCCGTGAATAGGTTTCCACGGCTTTTTTGGCCCCTCGTAGAAGCCCTTTTTTCTTGTAGTGAGGTAAGTGGAACCCCCTAATGTGTGATAGTGAGTGATCCCTTCCAGATTCCTAAGTAAGAGATGATGCAGATCTCTTGGGAGGGGCTAATACATGATAAGTATGACTTCATTCCACTGGCAAGCCAAGTTAATCAGGAACTCTAACTCGAAGATGGCTCTCGTGACAACCATCTTCCACATTTGGCAGGAACACAATTCTTGCAATTTTAAGGCAAATCCTCAACTCAAAATGAAGTACTCTATTTGATGACTGAATCAATTAGGGGCAAATTGCAACAAAAGTGACTTTTTGTGACAAAAATTTAGGGACAAAATTTATTTCACCCCTAAAAATAGTTTTTTGGAGACAAAATATTGATATGTCTCTCCACTACTTTGCCCGCCATTTTCTCTCACTGGCTGCACATTATTTTCTCAAACCTAGGGTTGCCATCTCCATCAATAGCCGGCTGCCTTTGCCATCTCTATCAACAATCGGCTGTCCCTGCCACCGGAAGACTTCACTACAACAAATATTGGTATTAGGGGCAAAAATTTTTATTGCTAAATACATACAATTTGTTGCAAAAAACTTTTTGCAACAAAAAAAATTTTGTGGCGAGGTTTCCCTATAAGCCCATCACAAAAGGTTTTACGCAACAAAAACAAAAACTTTTGTCGTAAAAAGTTTAATTTTTTGCAACAAGAAAATTACTTGTCACGAAAGATACAATGATTAGCAACAAATAATTTGTCTCCATTTCTCCAAAAATTTGTTGCTTAACACAACTCCATTCCGAGGACTTTGGTTGCTAAAAGACTTTTGTTGCTAAAAGATTAATTTTTTTGCAACAAGAAATTTACTTGTCCCTAAAGATGAGAATTGGCGACAAACAATTTGTTTTCATTTCTTCACAAATTTGTTGCTAAATATACAATAATTTGCAACAAAACTAGGTTGTTTCTAAAAATGTATCTATTTGTAACAAAACAAGATTGTTTCTAAAAATATATCTATTTGCAACAAAACTAGATTATTTCTAAAAAGATATCTATTTGCAACAAAATTGAATTCGTCACTAAAAGATAAAACAATTGCAACAAAAATATATTTGTTACCTAATATAATGCAATTTGCAACAAAAATATATTTGTCACCTCATGTAGTGCAATTTGCAACAAAACTACCTTTGTCACAAGTGTTGATATTTAACAACAAATATTTTTAGTTGCCAATTTTTTAAAATTTGTGAATAAATGCATTAAAAATCATAATTTGGTTTTTATTTTTTTTGTTCTCAATAATGTTTTTTTTCCTCTCAATAAACTAATTTATAAGATATCTTTTTTTCTCAGTAATACCAAACATGTCAATTAAACAAATTATCAATTATAAAATATACAATCTAATATTTTACAAATGAAAAGGTCAAATACTATTTCATATATCCAATCATCTATACATATTCCAAATATGGGATCAAGACGAGATTCATATACATAGGGAATGATTAAACCTATATCCAACAATATTGGGAGATCTAAAAGTGAATTTTACCTAAGCCCATATAAAACAAAAAATATAATCAATGGGACTATAACAAAAACTAATACCATCTACATGTAACCTGCCTACAATGGGGAGATCGGAGATCCATAAATACAATCCCTTGTAAGAACCAAAAGTACAAAACTGAGTTTGTTTTGAGCCCAATGAAACAAAAAAAAATTAGTCATTGGGTCTGCAACAAAAAGATGTCAAAAAGCTAATAAGCCCAGATACATGCAATCTGCCAACAATGGGAAGATGGGAGATCCATAAATCCAATCCCATGTAAGAACCAAAAGTGCAAAAGTTAGTTTATCCTTAGCCCATATGAAACAAAAAATATAGTTAATGGGCCTGTAACAAAAAATCAAAAAGATATCCCAGCCACATGCAATCTGTCAAAAAAATAGAAAAATTATGATTAGTTCAAACCACTACAACAAATTTAAGTTTCTACAAGGTCTTCTCATATTTTCAAGGCCTTTTTTACACACTAAGAATGCAAAATACAAACAAAATAACAAACCACAAAATAACAAATAATTATTAAAGAAGCACAAAAAAATATCTTAAACAATTCATATTAATACAAAAGTCAACATGTTTGGAATGATTACAAATACTAAATTTTGCCCCAAGTCCAAGGTTCCTTAGCCCTTTGCTAAAAACTACCTTAACACAAATGATCTAGTCTGAGGGATGAACTAATGTCTATGGATCTTTTACATTACACATTCAAACATAAAAAAGAAAAATAATTGAGAAAACGTGAAAAACCTTATTGAAACATTCTATCAACATTTGCCCATATATTTGGTTCCATAAAAATGTAGGATATCACTCTAGATTGGGTTTAAAATGATTTATGCAGCTTAACCCAATCAGATGGGAGCTAAGGCTTCTTGAGTTAAGTATACGATTCTATTTTTTTTTTTCCTAATTGATACTCACACACCCCCCTCCAAAAGTACACAATTCCAAATTAAATGGTACCCCAGTAGTTGGGAGATAAGGCTTCATTGAGTTAAGTTCATGATCCCAAATTAAATGGTCTAAGCTTTTTTACGTTTTGCCCACGAATCATCAGCTGCAACCTGTAGCCAGGCCGTCTAAGGAAGGAGAGGGGTTTGCTCACAAAAATAATACCCAAAAAAAAAAAAAACTTTTCAGTGCGAACACATGAGGGGCATGACGATTGTCAATTCCTCTGTCTGAAAACAATTCATGCATCCTAGTGATATCCTAGGGCCTCCACAAACCCGCAACTTCCAGTTGTCATTTGAGTCTTGGAGCTAGTTAGTAAAATTTAGAGGTATGAATTTGCCTTTCAACTAAAAATACTAGCCTCCTTCGTATAGACATAAAGATTAACAAAGCATTCAAAAAGACACTGAAAATGAAGTGAACTAATTGCTCTAGTTATTCCCAGGCTCAATCAAGGTCGAGAGTAAGCATAACCCATTTCTATCCTACTGTATTTTTATATGCATCCTTGCATTTTGGTATAATTTTTCTCCCCTTGTATGTTCTAGAGTGCATTTGAAATAATTCTCAACCAAATTCTTATTAGAAATATAACTTGTTAAGAAGAACTGAAGAAGGAATAAAGTAAAGGACAAAAATCTTCTCAAAGATAATACCTAATAAAGCCAACAAAGAAGACCAATGAAAGCTGAAAGAAAAGATGGTAATGGGGGTAATAATAATAATTGAAGATTTACAGTATTCTGGGTTCATGCCTGGCTACTTGGCTAGAAATTAGCCTTAGCAGTTAGCACTTCCAATATGAGCATTTAACTAGGATTTGATTATAAGGAGACAAGATGTCCCTCTCCCACAATACTGCTGAAGCTTCCAACTTCTTCTCTACACTTAAGCTATGTCACCTAGACTTGGCTACACGTATTGGGTGTAGGTGTGTGTCCTCAAACAAATAGTAAAGCATAAGATTGTTAAAGTTTTTTCCTAATAAAAATTAGAATAATACTTGGGATTGGAATAAAAAGCAAGTAATTTATCAAAATAATAAATATTTTATAACATATTTTTTTCCTACTTAAATATTTTATAACATCTCAACTCAACAAACCAACTCTATTTTCAACTATTAAAGTTGGCTATATGAATCCAATTTTCAAATTCCATTTTGTCCATGTATTTCATTACTTTATAAACCAAATAACAGATATTAACTGAGTTGAAACTATTTTCCGCAAGCAAAAATAATCTTAGAAAAAAGTTATGCAGTAAACAAAACTATTAATCTACTACTAAAAGAGTCACAGGTTTAAAAGAACTCCTAGATACCCAAACATGCTCACTGTACTTGTTATATTGAGTAATACATTACCGAATTTCAGTTCGGGCAGCCACTTAGTACAATAAAAATACAATAAAAATATAGGTGTGTACCCATTCATTCCTCCCAGCAAACTTGATTACAGAGACCATAATTGGTAAAGCCATTCTTTAACATTATTAAGTTTCAGCATGAAGCTAAAACTTTACTAATTAGCCATCAAAGGCGAGCATGTAAAACAGCCCCAGCATAAGCATAAGAGTTCATGAGGCATGGATACATAAGTATATGACAAAGGCGTAACCTGAAAACCCAGTTACTTTGTGCTTTATGGTTGAAGCCGATTAAGAAGTAAATACCTCTAGTTATAAAATAAAAAAATAAAAATAAAAAAAATAAAAAAACCTAAGCAATTCCAGTTATAAGGCACATTTCTAGATTCTCAAAATCAAACCTCTTAATCCTC